TATTTACTTTGCAGTTTTGCAAATGTTGAAGCCTAGGAAATGTTTCCCAATTCTGAAATTTTTGGCAGCAGGATTTGTTTCTCTTCTTTCCCAGTCTGGCGGGGAAACTCCCTCTTTTTGGGCAATGGCATAAATGTTTTTTGCTTGTTGTTTAGAGCTGATGGGATCTGGTTCTTGGGAAGAGAAACACATCACGAGTTGCTGTGGTGTGGCTAAGTGAGAAAGGTGCCGGCTTCCCACACACGCCAAGCCCTGACCCCTGCCTCCCACCTTTGCCCCGTGGCAGCAGTGGCAGGTGCAGCTCTGCCTGAAGCCAGTTTTTAAACCAGCTGGGTCAGAGGGAGAAAGCAAAGGAGAGGAGAAGTCGCTGCCCTTGGCCCCTCAGCCTCTCTCCCAGCTGGGTTGCATCCCTGAAGGGACACAGCAACACAGCCAAGGAATTCCTTCCTCTAAGAGAAAACCCAGGCGTGAATCCATGCGAGGCTCAGAATAAGAGAAAATAATCTGTCTCGCACATGCTCACAGCCTGATGGCCTCTCTTCCAGCGTCTCCTTGCTGTCACAGCAGCAGGGGACACAGTGACTCCCCTGCAGCCAGAGTTGGTACGACAGTGTGGGGCGGGAGGGTGGTTGAGAGCTGGGCAGCAGCCCGGGAGCAGGCAGGAAGGGACGGTGGATGGAGCTGGAAGGAGAAGGCAGGAGGACGTGCAACTGCCTCTCACTTGGCCCTGGGCCTGGTCCCTGTCCCGGGGCTGGCTGAGGAACAGCAGCTTCCTCCATTCCTCTTCGCTGCCTGAGATCCGGAGCCACCGCGCTCCTCTCCTGCCCCTTCCCCGGGCCCCTCCTGCTGGCTTTCTCCTGCTGCAGGCATCTGGTCTTCTGACTGTGAAGGACTATTTGGGAGAGTCTGATCATACATTCCTCATGCCTGAGGCCTCTCAGATAGCTCCAGCCAGTACAGTCGCTTTAAAATGCAAAACAGACAAAACCTGCCTGTGCCAAAGGCTGAAGCATCCTGTTTTGTTTCAGGAGATGCTAATGCTGGTGGTTTTGCTGCTGCTGCACGACTTTGTAGTACCTTCTGCCGTTCTGCACCATGCAAAGAGCAGAGAGGAGCCCAGGAGCTGGGGGATGGGGAACTGCAGGTGAAGCAATGGGATTTCATTCATCTGTGGGAGAAGGTGCGTCACGGTGATGTGACTTTTCATGCAGGCTAAGGAGTGAACGCAGGTGGAGCACCTTTCTCTTTAATAAACAGCTAAACCGCTCATGCCTTTACTTGAAAACATAGCTGTGTTCGATGAGCCAGAGCAGCGCAACCTCCCGTGGGCAGCCGGATTTCCCAGGACCGGGTGCAGCCAAGGGCAAGTGATCTCTGGGGCAGGGCATGTCTGCAGGCTCCAAGGCTTTGTGCTGGGAGCAGCAAGAAGAAATGGCAGGGAAGGAGGGCACCGGTGCCCGCGGCAGCGTCGGAAGAAGCTGGGAATGTGGCTCAGTGCTGCTTGGAGCCGTGGGCTGAGCTGCGGGCCCAGGGCAGGCAAAACCCCAGCTGGGCTCTGCACCTTCACCAGCACGTGGGAGCACGCTGGAGAAGTGCCACCCGCCTGCCTGTCTCCTCCAGGCTGGAGCGGTCCCCTCGGGCTCTTTGCCCATCCCAGGCTGTGGGATGTAATTGCTTGTTTGGGAAAATTTGGGGGGAATCTGAGCTGTAATTGCCCAAAGCGTCTGCTGCCCTTTGAGATCAGGTTGGAGCCCAGGCTGTGCCACCCCAGAATACGTGCCTGAGCTCCACTGACAAGGATTTATTACACAACCAACCCTCTCATGGAGCTGCCACAAGGAAATTCCCCAGCATAGCAATAGTGGAAAAACATGTAGTTATAATGCTGTAGTGTAATTCAGCTGGTCAAATAAATAACGACCTGTGTGGGAACTGAGAGTGATTTTTATTCCATAATCTTTCCAAAGTAGGATTGTTACTAGAGGCTTCTATTTTTAAGTACTTTTCCCAAGCATCTCCCGTGAATTTTTCATTCTTTCTGCATGCTGCAGTTCAGTTCCTCCTCCAGCAAAACCCTCTATCTTTTCCTCACAGCTCCAGGGGTCAGCCTACCTGACGACTAAATCTTTCAAAGCCTGACCCTGATTCTTATTAATAATTTCTCAAAAAAAATGCAGTGTTTTTTTCCTAGAGTGTTGGTTTTGGGTAGGTCTTGTCCTGGTTTGAGACCTCTTGTGCTAAAGGCTTTAAGACACAACTTGTAGTTTAAAAACATACTGCCCTTAGGACCTGCTCTCATTCAAGCAGTGCTTCTGTCCTAGCAGGATGTGATCCGTGGAGGAGGATCTTACCATTAATATTAACAGTCTGCTTCCGCACGAATTAATGGGATGGTTGAACATACTCTTGGCAGCTGCGTTGCCTTAGGCCAGGAAAGCCAGGAAGGTGTGACTGTGGATGTGTCCTACCTAGCATGGGACCCCTGAACTTCAGAAATCAAGTGGGAGCCAGGATCTCAGGAACATTACACCTGCCTTTACCGGCAGCTTCTGCCCCTCGTCCCCATCCACGCAGGCGCTGTGCCGACAGACACCAGCCCTCCCCACTGTGTAATGGTGAAAGAGTCGGAAATGCATAAACACGTGGAAAAAACAACTTTCTTTGCCCACATGGTTTTTATACACCATGGAGCCTGCCCAGCACATACAACACCCACGCCTGGGTCTGCCTCAGGGGCTTAACGCCTAAACAAACTGTGCTTCTTGATCACTCCATTCAATTTAAATTTCTGCCAGTTGCTGGTGCAAATTGTCCAGGGCTTCCTGCCAATGCTTGAATAATGCTGAGGAGAAAGTCTGTCTGGCTAACAGGAGAAGTCCTGGCTTGTCTGCAGGTGGTAAAAAGCTTGTGCATATTCCTGCTTCTCAGTGAAGTGTGCTGGCTGCCTTGGGAGGGGAAGAAGGTGCATGCAAGAAAACGATCTCACTGCCGAAGAGCCTGTGGGCTGGATCCTCAGCTGGTAAAAACTGGAGCGGCTCCATGGAGGGCATGATGTGCTGGTGAAGGGTCTGCCTGCCTGCCCTAGCCCCAAGGCTCCTGGGAGAGCTGGGGAAGGGGCTGCTGGAGAAAGTCTTATCTCTGCTGCAGGGCTGGTCTGGCCCTTGCATCACCCAGTCTTTGGGCACCAAGGGTTTCTCCACTATGGGTTTGCTCCCTATCAGCTATGGAGAGGGGAGATGGGAGGGAGCAGTGTTTGGGATGTGGCTTTGCCATCAGCTGCTTATGCTTGATGTTACGGTGTTTATAGCCCTCTGCTGAGCTCCAGGGAGACGTGAGAGGGGTTGGATCCAGTTTGGTGGCAGCAAAAGCTGGCGTCCAGGGTGAACACCCCCAGCCCTTACCGCAGTGTTTGAATCCACATGGCTGCTGTGTGTCCCCATTCCCAGCCCTGGGGAAGCAGCTGGTTGGAAGCAACCGCTGCTGGGCTGCGGAGCTCCACGCCAGGCTGTGCCGCAACTTGTTCTGCAGCCGCCCTGACGCCAGGGTGGTGGTGACCAGCTGCAAGTACCTCTCCCTTGAAACCAAGTGTTGAGGGTTTTCAGAGGCTCTCTGCACATTCGGATGTCATGGGGCTGAGCCAGTGCATCGCAATGAGCGGTTCGGCACCTTTGGGTCTGCGGCATCAGGGCAGAGCAGCCATGATGAGGGACATTCAGAGGCAAACGCAAAGAATTTGCAGATCTCCATGCCGAGAGGGAGATCGTGTGCTTGAAGGATCTTTCTGGCTCTGAGCCTGGCCCTGCCAGGCTGGGAGCAGTGCAGGGGTCTGGAGCCGGGCAGGCTGGGGTGGAAGGAAGGACGACGGCTCCGGATGGGCACAGAAGGACCTCAGCCCTTGCTGAGTGTGGCAGGAGCAAAACCTCTCGCAGAGCACTGATCCTGGCAGGAGAGCTGCCCTGGTGGGACTCCGCACTGACTGTTTGCAGAGATTACAAGAAATGGTGTAACCCTCCCTTCCACAGGGGCAGAGACAGGGGCTGGCCTGTGGCATCCCTTGACCTCTGGTCAGGGCTGGTGGGATAATGCTGCCCAGGCAGAGAGGTGGCTGTTTTCCTTCTTAGTTTGCTCCCCAAGCTGGAGCCAACCTTCTGAGTCTGTCCATATAACCCGACTCATGCTTGTATCAACAGCACTTCTGTATCACCTGGGCTCAGGGCCGCTGTGCCCAGAGCACGAGGCTGCCTTAAATTCACACCAGCATCCCAGGAAAAAGGCTCCCGCAGCCTGTTCTCCCCAGGGAGAGGGGTGCCACCAGCGTCCCATTGCTGGGGACAAACCTGTCCTTGTGCAACAGGGTCTGCAGCAGCAGGACTGGAGCCTGGTCCTGACCTGAGTGCTCATGGTTGGTTACTCTGGACCCTCTTGGAAAGGATGGGATTAGTTTTGCTAAACAGGCAGTTAAAAATTTAAAAAACCCTGAAGAGCAAAACCAGTCCAAGAGGGGACTAACACTTTGAGAGATGGTTTTGTAAATGACAAGCTGTCATACTCTGTTTATTGGTTTGGGGGGCTTTTTTTGTGGCTTGAAACAAATTTTTTAATTCTAACATGTCAGTTAATTAAAAAACTGCTCACATCCTCAAAGCATTTGCCTGAAATAAATCTTTTTTTTTTTTTTTTTTTTTTTTCCTTCTGTGTAAAGAAACCAAACCTCAAATCCAGCCCTTCAACACTAATAAACTCGGAGAGCTATTAGCCCCCACGCTGCCGGCTCGCCAGAGGTTTGCTGCTGCCAGCACTGGGGCCAGGGCTGGGGAAGAAGGAGTTAAAGGTTTGCATTGGAAGAGCAGCCCAGCTGCCTGCAGAGGCTTAGATCCCACTCTTTCTTCACCAGTGTTTGATGGCTGGGGAAAAGCCAGCTCTAAATTCAAATGCCACTTTCTAGTCCGAGGACAAAATTACACCCAACTGCCCTGATTCACCCTCTCGGAGAAAAGCAGGATGAGCTGTCTTCGGGGCCGGGCAGGCTGGTGTTTATTTCTGTTTGCAGGTTTGGGGCTTTGCGGTCCATGACCTGCCTGGTTGTGCTTCCAGTCTGGTCACTCCCGGAGCTCCGCTCCCAGCCCCGGGGGTGCGGGGGCAGCCCAGGTCCCCGGGTGATGGGCACTGGTGGGCCAAGGGACGATTCTGTCCCCTGTGCCCCATCCCTCAGCAGGTGACTTGTGTAGAGGAGGGCTGGCTGCCTCTGCCAGGGGAGAGCTCAGCCCGCACTGGGCGGGACTGGGGAGTACTGGGAGCGCTGCCACGGAGGGGTGGGCTGTGGGGCTGGGGACAGAGGGAGTGCGGGAGCAGAGGGCTGGATAGAGCTGAGGTAGGTGCCTACCTTCTCCCTAACTCCTTCTTCCCAGCGCTGGTCAGCTCGTGTCCGTGGGTGAGCAGTGCCTGGCTGGGCGAGGGATGGATGCTCTGTGCCGCTCCGTTCCTCTGGGCACAAACAGGAGGGGAGGTGGGACGGGGGGATCGTGGTGGGTTGTTTTAGGGAGGCGAGAGGTCGAGCCGTGAGCAGGCTGAGCCTTGCTTGTGGCCCACACAATCGAGGGGGCTGTATCCCAGCTCGGGGCATCGCGTCCCCGCGGAGCTGGTGGGAGCAGGGTGTGAGGAGCAGAAGCAGCCTGCTCCGCGTCCTGGTCTGGGGTTCGCTCACCGGCAGCTCTGCCACATCAGCCTGAAGGGGTGTACAGGGGCTGTGGGCTTTCGCCAGAGAAACAGCGGTGGTTTGTGTTGTGTTTAAACGTGGCTGTTCCTGCCCCCTCTCCCGCAGAGCCCTCTCACAGCCCAAACAAGATCTCCGCTGGCTGTGAGTGCTGCAGGCGACTGAGCGGCACCTTCCCCGAAATGATGGAAAACAACGTGTTTATGTCATTTACGTTCTACAGCACAATCTTGATTTTAAAAATGTATGTTGTTGCCATCATTACGGGACAAGTGAGACTCAGAAAGAAGGTAAGATCGAGTTTCCTTTTCCTTTTTCTCCCCTTCTGGCTTTTTTCTTGGGTTTCTGTGGTTTCTCTTTCTTCTTTTATTCCTGTAAAGGCCAAAAATGTTTTCCTGAAGCAAGCTGAGTTTTCTTTGACTTAAGTTGAAAGCAAAACATGTTTCATAGCTGCAGCAGATAAGTATCTCACTTCTCTTTGGCTCTTTTTGTTTGTTTCTACAATCTGTAGCTTGATGTTTATAATTTCTGAATCCTAATCTAAATAGTAATTTTAGATCTAAAATGGCATGCAGGTAAGCTGCTTCTGGAAAGAGACTGTTTACAGTTAATTTGCCGTGTCTGGAAGAAAAAGCAGGGGGGAAGGGTTTAAGAAGAAATCTTGCAATTGTCTTTTTTCTTGCGATGTAGCAGAAAGCTTTTGAGCTTTTGGAGACTGAGTGGATATGTGAATGCTCCAGGAGAGCAGAAAGTCCTGGGGAATAAAAACAATAGCTGGAGGGAATGGTTCTTGGGTACAAGGGAAAATACAGGGAGGACCAGGAGCATTAGCTGACATCAGATGGGGTTAACTGGACTTCTTACTGCCCACAACCCAAACTGAACTTGTGGCAAAACTCAGCTGTCTGTAAAATCTGTTTTAAAGTATTTGAGGAGTTTGTGACTGCATCAGGGGAGCAGGAGGGAGAGATTTCTTCTCTCAGATAAAATACTAAGAGATATCCCTGTGCCATAACATCATTGTAACTGATGATTTGGCTTTTCCCCCTGTGTTTCTAAATGATGCTCCAGCTGTGGGACAGTCTGGGCTTGTAACATGATTAAAGCAAGTGCCAGGGTTCTTTCCAGGCTGCAAAGTGAAGCTGTCGCGTGTAACCAGGTCCCTGAGGAGCAGTTTCTGAGCATAGGTGGGGAGCTCGTATAAATCATTTTTATTTGTAATTTTATTAGTATAGGATCTGATTTCCCCAGGGCTGGTTTCAGTCACACAGTATCACTGCCAAAAAGCCAACCAGGGAATATTCTTTCTCAGTAGGGTGAACTAATCTGTCAGTCCCAGTTATCTTTTGGATGCTGCACTCGGTGTCTGCAAGCTCTGTGCCAGCAGTGATCTCATTTGGTGGTTGGCAAAGTCTCTTTTCAGTGTGTTTCACGGGGAGAAGTGGACTGGGATCAAGCCGGAGCTCCCTTGAAGCCCCCGGTTTGGGACCTGCTCGGTGGGCAGGGTTGGGTTTTTCAGAAGATAAGCAAAACCCGTCGGGAGGTGCAAGGTTTAACCCCCAGGACCGTGCACATGGAAGCGCAGTTGCTCTTGTGTTTGTGAAGGGTGGTGAGAAACTGGGGCGGGAAGAAATCCCCACAGGTCTCAAAGATTAGGGGCAAAGCTTCTACCTGTGAAGCTCCTGAAAACATTATGAGCATAGAGATTACGAGGACTCTCTCTTGCAGGCGTTTGCAAACCCGGAGGACGCGCTGCGCAACGGGGGGCTGCAGTACTACCGCGAGGACCCCGACGTAGAGCGGTGCCGCAGGCGAGTACTCAGGGCTGCTGGCATGTCCCCTGCACCTTGATCCCTGGCAGCTGCTGGCAAAGAAGCAGTGGGAAGCTAAAGGGCTCATTAATTAAGTAATTACCTAGATGGGTTGAATGCCTGGACCTCAGCTGCGGGACCCTGCACGATAGAAGGTTTAATCTTTAATGGGAGCATGGTGTGCTCGTGGAAGGACCTGGGTTTGGCTACAGCAGCGGACTCTGACACAGTTAAACTCATTTCCAGATGCTCAAAGCCCTGCAAGCCCCCTGAGGGCTTGTCCAGTACCCACACCCAAAGGCTCCTCATGCCCTGCTCTGACAGGATCCCAGATCCCCCCCAGGTCCCTGCACAGCTTGGACAGGGAACTGTGTGATTGATCTCAGTGCTGGATGCAGCTGCCCTTTTTGGGTATTTGGGAAGAGGCTGGACATGATTGCAATAACTTCTGCCTCCCTAATTGGCCAAGCTCCGAATCTTCCCCCTCTTCTGTGGGGCTCACAGTTCCTCGGAGGTAAAGCACAGAGTTTTTCAGCCCTGGGCTTGGTTTGCTGTTCCCCTTACCTAGAAGGAGGTGCCCCGAGTGTTGGGCTGGATCACTGGTGACGTGCAGGAAAGGGGCTGGAGCCGTGCCCTGATGTCACTGAGCCCTCGGCCGCCAGCTCTGCTGTGGGTGAGGGGACAACACCACTCACCTCCTACTGCCTGCAAGATTTGCTTTAAAAAGCATCCAGTGCCACCTAATCCACAGGCTTCCAGAGGGAGGAGGACAGCAAACAAGCGGTTTCCTTGCTAGGAAAAAGAAAATAATAGTAATAATAATAACCATAATCCGCTTTTGGTTAGTCAGAAAAGGCAGACTTCCATAAAAATAAATAACCGGAGCTGCAGCAAAGACCTGGGGAAGTCTGGGATCTGACTGTGCAGTTAAAGTGCTCAGAGTTGGTCCTTGCTGATCTGTTCACAGCCCTGGGGAAGACAGATTAAACCCAAGGCGTTTCCCCTGAACAAGGATGATGTCAGGTTTTCTTCTCGGGCATTACTGGGAGGGGAGCAGAGCCACGGCCAGGCTGCCGGGGTCTGTGCAGGGCAGGGGCAGAGCAGGGAAGAGCAAGTGGCAGCTGGGATGGAGGTTTCCCCCCTTGCCTCTTAAAGAGGCCCCTGGCTGCACCTCCGCTCTTTTCTTTCCTTTCTCCTCCCTGTTATTCTGTTTGTCCTTCCAGCCCTGCTGAACCTCCAGGTCCTCGGGGGGGCTGCCATGGGGACTGCCCTCTCCCAGCACATCTGACACCAAAACCAACCATGCTCTTCACCGCAGTCCTGGCTGGGCTGCGGGAGGGTTTTGTGGTGGTACCCACAGAGGTGATCCTGGCTTGGGAAGGCAAGCGGGACGCTGGGCTGTGAAGGGAAGAAGCTGTGAGTGGGAGAGCCTGTCCTCATATCTGGGAAGGGGCTGGCTCTGGCCAGGGACCATCTGGCCAGAAGGATCAGGGGGCTTCCCGCAGCTCCCCTCCATGCTTCTGGGTTTGGCAGGGAATACGTCTCCTCCGTGTCCAGGCTCTGATCAGCTCATCCCCACCGAGTCCTTCTGGCATTGCCACTACAACAGCAGGACTCATTTCAGTGTCTTTCCTAGGCCAATTCCTCCATGCTGTCCCAAAATCACACCCAGAGAGCAGCTGAAATAGGGTTTCCACCAGGTTCCTTTCCATGTTCTTACCCCCGTTGCTTGGGGACATAGTCTTTAAGCTAAGGACTGCTCCCCAGGGAGGTGGAAAGAGCAGGTGAGAGAAAGCCCCTTGCTCTCCTGCCTGCTGTGGGGATAACAGGGTGCTGAAACTTTTCTGGGTACAACAGGCTGTGCATCCTCTTCATGCTTGAGCAAAGCCGAGGCTGGAAACAGCTCAGGTGCAATATTTACCCAAAGGTGCCCTGGACCTGCTGAGCTGGTGCCTCGGATGGACTCTGGCATGGGAAGGGGACAGTGAGGGACACTGGCAGGGGCTGGCATTCAGCACACAGGTCATTTCATCTGATGTGGTGATGGGAAACCAGCTGCTGGACTCAGAGCTTCCGTTCTTGTCCCCATCCTTGGGCATCGCAGTGAAGGGGGGGGGAGGTTAGGGCAAGCTGGGTGACCAGAGCCCTTCCCCGCAGCCCCTGCCCCATCACTCAGACACTGATCCTGCCTAGGAGCAGTCACCCTCCAAAAACCTGGGCTCTTGGTGTTGAAAATTTCTGATGGAGAAGCTTTTAGCAAACCTTGGTCTGAAGAAATCAGTGTTTGGTGGGGCAGTTGTTGAGGCAGACACTGGGACATCTCCTGCACCACAGACCTGACTCCAGGGGCTGTAGAGGGGCCTTAAAACAAAGCCCTTTTTCTTTTCCAAATTCAGGTTTCAATCAGGTCTACCCCAGCCTGTGTCTTCACTAATGAGCTGTGACTGAGTGTTCTAAAACTATACCAGCCACTTCTCAGCTTGTGCAGAAGAGCAGCACAAGCATCTTGGCCTTTGCTTCAGGGAAAAAAATCACAGTTTTCTCTGGGCTTTGTGAATGTTTAAATGTCCTGGGGCACAGGAATGGGGAAGCAAGGTTGGTTCTTATCAAGGCTTCATCTCTGCCTCTCAAACCTTCAGAGGTAACAGGGAAAAGGCATCAGAACCTTGTGCCTGGGTCACTCCAGCCCAGATCCATCTCCACCGACCGGAGCATAACCCGAGAGTCCTCGCAACGAAGCATGGGGACGGGGCTCTGTGCTGCAGGAAGCAGCTCTTGCGTCTCAAGGGGACAAAAGAAGGAGAGGCAGAGGCGGTGGGAGGGCAAGGACAGCCTCGCTGCTTTGGGGACTGGTTTCCCTCCTTCGAAGGAGGGTAGCTGGGGGAGGAGGGACACAGCCTACGCTCACAGCATGATCAGCCCCCGTTTCGGTAGCAGTGTGGTGCGGGTGGTGGCAGGGGACGTTGTGACACCCAGGCAGGCGCCGGGTTTGGGCCCCATCAGTGCGAATGTGTCGGTCCCTCCAGCCTGACTGTGGTGCAATCCAGCAGGTGCTGCTGGCACCGTGCGGGGGTGCAAGGGGTGCTCGGGGTGCTCCTCCCCAGCCCCCTTCGGGTGCAGTTACAGAGAGGGGAAAAGCCATGAACTCTCCCATCCTGGGAATTTCTCCTCTGGAAAAACTGCGGTCAGGAAACCGCCTCCTTATTGTGTAACGTGGCCACATCTGGGGCCGTGCCGTGCTGGCACCGCACCAGCTTTGAGCTTTTCGCAGCTTCGCAGGGTCTTTGTTTTGCTTTGTTTATTTAAAAGCTCTAACCCTCTAGCTGTCATCTGTCGCAGCACAGGCATCCCAGTCACGGAGGGCAAGCTTCAGGAGCACAGCATCTCAAGGGGGAGACACTGGCTGTGAAATCCTGCTGCCCGTGTGCAGGGGGGGATCTGACTCTTTTGGGGGCTGCACCTGCCCCATCCAACGGAGGAGAGGGCCAGCAGCACCCGGGGATGGGCACTCTGGCTAGAAGGGATGAGAGACAGCAGGGAAGGTGCTTCCTGGTGGGAAGGTGGGAAGGAGCAATCTTATCTCCCTTTTCAGGGCCCACCGCAACGACATGGAGAACATCTTTCCCTTCCTCTTCCTCGGAGCCATCTACTCCCTGCTGGATCCCAGTCCCGCAGTGGCCAGGATCCACTTCTTCATCTTCTGCGTGGGACGCATCGTCCACACCATCGCCTACCTCCTGCAGCTGAAGGCGCCCACACGCTCCGTGGCCTACAGCGTGGCACAGCTGCCCTGCTTCTCCATGGCTCTGCAGATCCTCCTCGCCACCGCCCCGTACTGGTAACACCCAGCGAGACCAACCACCCAAACCCCCCTCATCCTGCTCTCTGCTGATTTCCCTGGCTGGACCAGATGGTGCGTGTGCAAGTGTGAGTGTGTAAGTGTGTGTGTGTGTGTGTGTGTGTGGGCATGTGATAAGTTGCCAGGGAGGCCACCTGCGCCCCAAGGATGCTCAGTGCAGCTTTGATAAAGTCCCCGTGCTATTGAAATTGGGCAGGGAAGTCACCAGAAAGAAGGGGCACGTCTGCCTGTGGAGCGAGAAGGGGATGCGGAGGCAGGTTCCTCTGGCTCCTGCTAAGGATTGGAGGCACCTGGACTAGCCCTCAAGGAAGGGATTTACTGAAGGAAAGAACATTTTCTGGCACAACTGCATTTGGAACTGGGGAGGGGAAGGTGTGCCCTTTTCCCTTGGTCATGAATACCCTGTGAATCAGGAAGGGAAAATCATGAGGGTCCCATGAATTCTCTTGGTCAGCAGATGCAGGTGGTAGCAGAAGGGGGTTATAAACCAGCCACCCTCCTCCTGCCCAGCCGTGTGGGTCTGGGGGAAGAGGGGAGGGGGGGCCCTTAGGTTCCCTCTCCCCAAAGGAAGACAGGAGGCAGGTGCCTACCAGGCAGCATAACATGGAAGTCAAAATCTCAGGTGTTCAGTGCTCCCAGAACCGCCTCATCTCATGCCATGGGATGCAGCTCCCTGCCCGGGAGCCTCGCTGCAGGCAGGAGCCTGCCTGTCCCACCAAGGACACCCCACGGCCAGTGTTTGGCAGCTCCCGGCCGGCAGCAGCAGCCGTGGCTTTTCCATCTCAGTCTCACCGTGGCAAGATGCAGAGGGACATGCCTGGAGCAGCCGGCAGGAATCGCTTACCCCATAGAGAGATGGACAGAAAGCTCTGGGACTCCTTGAAAGACTGAGATGTTCACACAAAACAGGGGCTTGCAGTTTGCAGACAGAGCTTTCTCCCAAGGGCAGTATCTGCGTTCACATGCCGCCGATGCCTGAAGACTCTCCCAGGGCAGCAGACTGAATTTCTCTCCCTCTGTTTGTAGCCTTTCTCTGGCCGCAGAATGGCCATTGCTATTTGGGGAATGTGCCGTGACTGCTTTGGGGGTGTTTTTTTTTTTCAGCTGTTTCCTGCTGCCCACTGCTGCCGAGCTGTGCGCAGCCTGGATTAGTTGGTGTTTGCAGAAAGCTCTGGAAATGAGCAGAGTGGCTTTGAACCACCCCGTGGGAGAGTACCACTGCTCTGCAGCGTCACGTTGGAGAGGAGAGGCTGGGGCCAGCGTACCGCAGGGTGACAAACTCTTGTGAGCTCCTCTGCCATGCCACTGTCCTGAAGTGCCACGGGCTGGTCCAGCCAACAGCAGCACGCAATGGAGCAGCGCACAGTGGGGCACCCCTAGGGAGGACAAGGCAGGAGGACACCTCTGCCGTTCAGTTCCCCCTCCCTCCTCTGAGTTTTACTAAGATCACAGAGGGAAACCAGAATGAGCAGAAAATAAATTCCCCTTCCACCTGTCCTAACCACTGAAGCTCTTCCCTTAATCCCGCTGTCCTCGGAGATGCTCTTGCAGAGACCTCACCGAGTGCCTGCGTGTGCAAAGCACGAGGTGAAACACCAGCTCTGAGCCCTTGCCCAGCTTGGGTAGCAGCTTCTGAACCAGTAACTCCTGCCCCAGTGCAGATGTGGCCTTAGGCCAAGCTGTTTGCTGAGGTTTGGAGCGGAGCGCTCTGTTCTCCCGCGGGGGATGCAGGGCCTGCCACATGGGGAAGGTGGGCAGGACTGCAGGTTCAGCAGTTTGCTCTTGGCCATTTCTCATTTACACAGCCTCAACAGATGTCTGGGTAATACATACTCCTCTTAACAAGCCTTTTCTGCCTCACATGGTGCACAAGGTCTCGAAACCCTGTATGTTTCTCTGCTGCTGCACATGCATCCTGGTGGCAGGAAGCAAATATTCCCAATAAAAACAAATCATTGTGCTCTGATACATCCTTCCTTCGGGAGCAGCAGATGCAGCTGGGTAGCAGCTGGGCCCAGCCCCAGCAGGATGGCTCCCCAGCTGCAAAGTGCTTTGCTAAACCCCGCTGCAGAGCCTGGAGTGCCCTGGAACTCCTAAAGAGACATCCCTTTCCTCTGCACTCACCTGCCCTGCAGAGGAAGCTCTTTTCCAGGTGTGCCTGATTTGTGCTGATCCTTTAAATTCAGCAGAGCTGGGGGTTTGCAAAGCAGTTCTGGTCAGTTTTCCTTCCTAGAGTTGCAGCTTGCTACAAAGCTTGGTGTCCACCCGAGCCTCTTCCATCCCAGTTCCCCTGCAGCAGGTTAGTGGTACAAGGTGCTCTGCCCCACCAAGCTTTCTTCCCACCCTGACTGCGCTCAGCTGGGTGCTTCTTGCCCGTACAGCCAAGCTGGTGCTTAAATCCTGAAGGGCTGGAGTTCAGGTAAGACTTGGTTTCTCCCATTTCTTGTGCTTATGACTTGCAAAGGAGCTGCCTATATTTTTCAAACTCAAGCCCCCTCTTTTTATCAGTAGGCTGCTGGGAAGCAAACACCTCATTTCCCTGTTTTTTCCCCCTATTTTCTTAAACTGTTGGTGGTCAGGAGGTGCTGCCCTATCAGTGTGTTAGCTGGTTGAGATGGATAAAATGGCTCCCTTTGATAGTCTTTTTTCTTTCTCTCTTGCTTTTTGCTTTCAAATAAGAAAGGCAGCAGCTTTATAAAATGGACTCTCTCCAATACATGTTGCTGTGGTTAGAGATGTAGCTGGGACTGAGATTTTTGGCATGGAAAGGAAGAAATGGGGCTGCAGAACCCCCCCAGTCCCCAGAGCTGCCAGCTCCTTCAGCCTCTTCTAAACTGCCTGTTCAGTGCCTGGGGCTGATGCCTTGCTCAGGGAAACCAAGGTTACATGCAGAGCTCTGCTTTCTTCTTTTTTATTAAAAAAAAATAAACCCTGCTGTCCTGGCTGCAGGGAAAAGCTTGGGAACGTGAACTCTCCTGGCTCCAAAAAAACAAACAGAAAAAGCCCACAAGGCAAACTTCAGAGAGGCCCAACTATTGTGCTTATTTTGAAATGCTGCGGAGGTTTGTGGGAGGGAGGACAGAGCCTGGCTCTCGGCTGCCTGGTCAGCCCAAGCCCCATCAGGGCTGTCTCAGGACAGAGGTGATCGGAGCCCCTGGCTCTCCCCGGGGCACAGCCGGTGTGTTCGTTGGCTGGAGGGCAAGTGAGGAGCTAAAGCATCCCCTGTTTTCTCCCAGATAATATCCCAGTGCTCAGAAGTCTCAGATTCCTGCTCCAGCATCGATGTGGGGGAAGGATGTCTCCCGCAGCTCCAGGAGAATGGGGATGGTGGTGGCATCTAACAGTCTCTGGGTTTTGCTGTGTGTGCCAACAACTTGGCTTTCACACCTGGCTCAAACCTGAAATGACAACACTGTGAAACCCACCTGGGACTGCAGAACAACAGTTTGGTGCTTAAATATTTGAATATGATTCAAAGCACCTGTGTGTGTCTTCCCTCTGCCCTGCTGAGCCCAAGGTATCTGGAGGTGGGGGAAGAGCAAGCAGAAACCCAGCCCAAGCCCCTTCCCCTCCCCCTTGCTTCCAGCCAGTTCAGCTCCAGGATTTCACCCCTCAGCTTTGGTTACCCTCTCCTTACCTGCCTGTGCCTCTTCCCACAGCTCTCCAGTTCACCCAGACCTTCCCCTTCGTGGGCTTGGGGCCCAAGATACTTCCCTTGGGCACCTCTCCTGTGACATGGGTCGCTCTGCCTCCTCCGCCCTCCCAAATATCTCCCATTTCCTCTAACAGATGTGGGGCTCTTCCACCTTGTGCTGTGGGGTTTTGTCACTCAAATCCCCTTATTCCTCTTGAGGAACTGGGATTCCCGTGATTTATAGGGAGAGCGAGAAGAGCCAGCTCTACAGCTATGGACATCCCGGTGGTTAGTCCTCGGGAAAAGACAACGGTGTTTCCCTGCTCCTCTCTGGCGCACACGAGGAGGGAAGTTGGCACAAGGAAGACTTTATCCACCAGGATTTCTTCCTATGAGGCTCTGGAGCTGAGCTGCCAGGCGTCCCCTGTTTGCGACCCGGGTGCCAGCCCCAGGCAGGGAGGTGGGAGGTGGGAGGTGGTCGGGGTGTGTGTGTGTGTGGGGGGGGTCCCTGGCCCCCCGGGTGGGGTGTGGAGCAGAGCAGCACGATGGGGTGGGGTGGGGGGGCTCTGCTCCGCACCCCCCGACCCTGCTGAGCTACCGCGGGCCACGCTCCCCTGCGCGGGGCTGCAGCACCCTCGTGTGGCAGCGAGCACCCGCTGCGGGGGGGACCCTGCTCCCCACGCCCTCCCGTGGGCACGCTTGCCCACGGAGACCCCAGCCCGGGTGCTGACTGGCCCAGGGAGCTGTGGGCAGGTCCCGGGAGGGGCTTGAAGTGTTTGGGGCGGGGGTATGGGTGGATGGATGATGGGTGCTGTTCCCTGGTGGGGGGGCGTGGGTTGAGGCGGAGGCTCCTGGCTGCTCCTGTGCCCATCAGCCTCTCCAAGACAGGCAGATGAGATGCTCTGCCCCGCTCCCGGCCACACTGCATGTCTGTGGGCAATGATTCTTCCTTGCGTGCACTAACTCTTCCTTGGCTTTGTAACGCCCATTACAAAGGGAACCTTTGCTTCCTCCCTCCTTCCCAAATTGTTACAGAGCATCACACCCCCAGCAGATAGCTACCATCCAGCTTCTCAAAAGCTGCTCTGCTGTCTTAGGCTGCTTTCTTTTGGGGTCTGGAAAGAAGCAGCAGCAAGCAAAATATCAGCTGCAGGGAGGAGATGCTCCTTCCAAATGGAGCGCTGAGTTTGGGGTGACCATTGCATCCCCCAGGGCAGGAGGGGCTCAGCTGCTGGGAGGTGACATGTTGCTGTCATAGGTCCATAGGTTTCTGCAGCTCGTAGGTGGTATCAGCAGGACTTGGAGAGTGTCCGGGTGTTCCCGTTGCCACCAGAGGGAGAAGGGCTCAGCGCAAGGCAGAGGAGGATGCTGTGAGCACTCGATGTTTGTGTTATTCATTCTGGATGGGGATAACCAAGTGAGCATCCCTGCGAGCTGGAAAATGTGAGCTCAGTTTTGTCTCACTGCCGTGGCAGCCAATGCTGATGACAATACAAAATTGCTCTCATTACAGTATTGCAGGGGCAAGCTTCAACTTTCATCAGTCGGAAAGCAGTGCACAAGTGTCAGGCTGCAGGGTCAGAAACAAAGAAACGGGGTACAGGGAGGTCCTCCCATCAGCTGAGACTTGCCCTTTGGGAGTCAGCTGGTTGAAAACCAACTGCTTCAAGGAAGGAAAAACAATTTGCAAATGTTCTTGCTGACTTCTCACACACACACCTGAAGTTGTGGTGTATGGAAGGAGACCGGCTCTCCTGCAGAAATCAGTTCTGGTGATGGATGTGTGTGTGACAGACTGCTTCCTAGGAGGAAAAAGTCCTGTGGTGGAAGAGGAAGAGAGGTAGCACAATGCCTTTGAGCTTCTCTTCGCTGGGAGCCTTCCCCTGGCACATCCCTCCTCAGCGGAGTGCAGGCCCTGCCAGGTGAGCTGCAGCTCCCCATGCTTCTCTGTCTCCTGTTTTGCAGACCCCTCAGAAATAGTCCGTTAACTCCTGGGAGCCGGCAGACCATGGGTTGAGACCTTCTGCTCTAGCGGGAGCTGAACTGAAGCTGGGACAGTTCAGGCAGGAAATAAGTGACATATTTCCAGCAGTTAACAGTAATGAGTCACTGGAAGAATCTGCCCTGGGATCTGCAAGCCCTTCACTTCCAAGGGTCTTTTGACTCCGGGCTGGATGTCCTCCAAAGTGATGCTCTGCATTGGCCACATGCTGAGGACATGAGGATGCTGCTCGGGTGATATTCTCTGCCTGGGACTAGGCAGGAGCTTGGACATACGACCTTAATGATCTACAAGTCACTTAATAAATAGGTGGTTACAAAGCAGTAGTGGAGCAGTATGATAGGGGTGGTTAAGCTGCTGGTGTGTGGGACCGTGGCTACTGGAGTGGGCTGGTGTGGCTTTGCGGACTGCACATGCTACAGATCAGATCTGTAAATCATGTGTGGGGTGTCCCGAGTCCCCGTGGCCAGTCATGGTTCTGGGCACCAGCACGGCTCCAGGCACTGAGGTAAGATCTCTGTGTCTGTCTGGAGTTGCTCACTGTCCCTGTGATGGCACATGGAGCTCTCTGGCTGCGTGGTGGAGGATTCATGCTCCTTTCAAGCCTTTCATTGTGTGGCCACCCCTTGGTTTTCCCCTTTTCACCTTGTTTCCAGGTCTAGGAGTCACAGCAGCTCAGGCAGTTAGTGGGCTGGGGGTGATCTCCAGCACAGGGGCTCACTCCCCTTCTACTGGGTGCTGCACTGAAGAGCTGGGATGAAGCAGGATAAGCCTTGTTCCCCTCTGAAAGCTAGGATGTGTTGTTGTAGGGTCATTCCTCAGCCTTGCAGTCCCACGGGGTCCGTGTGTCACAAAGGCCACTGGTGATGGGGGACACGGGGGCTGCTGCCGGGATGGAATGGGTGCTGTGGGCTCTCATGGAGCTGAGCTCCTCTGGGTGTGCAGGGGGGAGCCACGGACTCCCCGGCTGCGTCGAGGGGATTTTGGGGCTGGCCTGGGGAGGAAGAGGTGACACAAGCAATACCATGGGAGCTGGCTTGAGAGGAGTCAGCTGCAATTCTGTGGATTAAGGCAGGTAAAAGGAACAAGGCAAACCCAGCGTGCCCTTTCTCCCACCAGCCCCTCCCCACTCCTGGAAGTCAGCAGGGCAGCAGTTCTTCGCCCAGGCAGCTGAATCTCTGCCACGTTGCGCTGACACAGACCCACTCACCATTAACTTTCTAACCCTCACTGAACGTACTTTATACCTCCGATCTCTGCAATATCTTGGGGCAGTGGATTTCAGGCTTTAGTTGTGCTGTGGATTTTTATGACAGCTGTGAGGACACTT